GCTCCCCATCCAAGGTGAGGTGGCATCCCGCCCTTCCCGGCCTGGCCTCGCCCCCTCACAGGGCCTCATCTGCTCCCGTCTCTTGCCTCCTCACAGAAGTCACACCACCGTGTGCAGCTTCCTCGCCCTGACACTCTCTGCTCCTCCTTCTGCTCGGAAGGCCCACTCCTGACCCCCTTCAGTGTCCCGTCGTCTTGGCCGTCTTCTTACCATCACCGAAGACTCTCTCCATCACCGGAGACTTACACCAAGCCCTAATGAAGGAGTGTGGAGTACAGGCTGTGGAGACTATGCAGAAAACTGCCAGCTGCGGGCCCAAAGTCACCCCCTCATTTACAAGGTAAGGCAACAGGATCATGATTTCCAGCCAGATTAACTGTAAGTAACCCATCCACAATTCCCGTGGCTGTGACATCAGTAACCTGGCATAATCCCTGGAGGAATGAGAAGGAGCACGGAGAACTCACACTTAGACTGCACAGTGTCTGGCTGCCCGACAAGATGTATGAAAGGAACTGCGTAGGTACTAGGAATCCAGAGAGTTCCCTGCTGTCCTAGAACATCTCCTGACAACTTCAATGCACTTCTGACTTCACAGTGAATCGGGTTAGTATTTACCCTCCTTTCAGACTTGGGAAAAATCGAATCAATTTGCTATGTAGGCAGCAGGATGGCAACGAGCTCTGGTCCCTCATAAAGGCTACCTTTTTCATTGCTAGGCTCACACCTAAAATTTCAGGGCAAGTCGGACTTCATTTAGATGGTGCAGAGAAAAGTATGTTGCAACGTGCCACTATGGGTTTCAGTCAGGAGACTGCAGGCTACTTAGTCTATGCAGGAAAAAAAGCAAACTTTGAGATTGCAATGCTGAGGACACACAGTGGATGAAATTCTCACGTCCAGCTGGTCTCACTCAAATGACAGTGAGTCTGAATTATCTGCAGAATGAGGACAAGACATTTTGTAGAAGTGAAACATTAACGACTGTGTAAGTTACGAGTCATCCAAATTTATGAGATGCTATCAAGAAAATTCAGTCCGATTTCGCTTTTGCTCAGGGCTCTCACTTTCTATTTGTGCTATAAACCAACAGTCAGGAGAGTGGGAGAGATGTGCATGGCCCTGGATTTGGAAAATGCATGTTTAACATTCTCCATTAATGACAAAGCAACGCTGGGTGCCAGTCAGGGGACTTTGGAAAAGAAAGATTTTGAAAAGCGAGCACAACAGCTTTTAAAAGGCAGTCCTCTATAAAATTAGGCTTTAAAAATAATTTTAGTCACAAGTACATGTGTGAGTGCTACAGTTAAAATAAATTCAGCTTAATTTCATTCATTTATTCAACAAACATTTATTGAATGCTACGTGTAACAACTATGAGAAATGGAATCCTAAAGGCAGAGACCAGACACCCCTGAGATACTTCTAAAGTAGCCATTCTCTCTCTTTTCCAAGGGGACTTGGGGGGCAGATGTCACAAAGAAGAACAGAATTCCCTACCGAATCTCATCAGGAATGGGATTTCCAAGCCCCTTTCCTTTGCTAACTTACTTGGAGATAAGTCATAAGTAAAGAAAGAAGGAACAGAAAATACATACAGATACAGTAATAAACATAGAGCCAAAGGACATGGGACCATGTCAGTTGTCAATATCCATTCCCATTTTCTCTACAAGTACGCTTGTATCTGTCCGACTGTGGAGCCCAGTTTGCTTCAGAAGTAGCTTGGCAGGCACTGAGGGTAGGGCATCTATGACCGCCAGGGTCATCTCAGAGGAAAGACAGGACATGTGAATTAAAGCCCCTAAGCAACGCTCACTTCAGGGACCGCTTCAGGGGCTCTGCAGCGTTTTGAGCAGAAGTGTACAAAGACAAGAGAAAACAGACCAAGGAAACCAGACAGTGGACGCTGCAGACACTTCTGTGGAATCTGGTAGCACGTGAAAATGTGACAAAGTGGAGGGAGAAAGAAAGAAGCTCACCCTGACCTTTACTTGAAGGTCAAGAGAATGTACAGCAAGACTTGCATCAACATCAGATTTTCCATTTGGGGGCTGTGAGGAGACGTGGTGTAATTTCTTTTTTTCACAGAATAAACCATCCCATTGTTGTGGAACGATCTTGAATATCCTTAAGGATAAAGTGGTTATCCCTGTACCACAAGTACATGAACTGGTTTAAAATTCATGTCTAGTCCTTAATAATATTGTCTCAAGGTGCCTGGGTGGCTCAGCCAAACGTCCGACTTCGGCTCAGGTCATGATCTTGCAGTCTGTGAGTTTGAGCCTTATGTTGGGCTCTGTGCTCATGGCTCAGAGCCTGGAGCCTGCTTCAGATTCTGTCTCCCTCTCTTTGTCCCTCCCCCACTCATGCTCTTGCACACGGGTGCATTCACGGTCTCTCTCTCTCAAAAAGAAACAAAAAAAATAATTCCAGGGGCACCTGGGTGGCTCAGTCAGTTAAGTGTCTGACTTCGGCTTAGGTCATGATCTTGCAGTTTCTGAGTTAGAGCCCCGCGTCAGGCCATGTGCTAACAGACAGCTCAGAGCCTGGATGGAGCCTGCTTCAGATTCTGTCTCCCTCTCTCTTTGCCCCTCCCCCACGCATGCTCACTCACTCTCTCTCTCTCTCTCTCTCTCTCTCTCTCAAAAAGAAATAAACATTAAGAAATTTAAAAAAATAATACAGGCTCAAGTCAAGGTACATTCCAGGGAATATGAGACAATTCTATATAAATTCTATTTACATAGAATGACTCTTTTGTTCGCTGGTGCAAGGGACAGTTGCCTATTTTGAGTGAGAAAATCTGGGCCTGAGGCTGGTTCTGCCATTGGCTGGGTGTGAAATTTGGGTTAATCCATGTGAACCTCTGTGAATCAGCATTTCCCCATCCATCTTCTTTACAAAGCTTTAAGGAAGATTAAATGACCCAAAATACATTAAAGTACTTTGGAAACGATGGAAGTATATATAAATGATATTTATCAGTAGTCTTTCCCCTGGCTGTCACGTATGGAAGGAAAGTGTGCTAACGACAGACAGGGCTGAACTCCTGCCCGACGACACGGACACACCTCTGCACAGGGGCCACAATCCTGCGGTACGGAAATATTTTTCCTCCTGGGTAACATCAGATTCTACTTAGAATGCGGATTCCAACTCTTTCTAATGTGACTTCGACCCCTGAAGTAGCTACAGGGTTAACACAGATGGATACTAATCAGGATCCTCCATAAAGTAGACAGAAATGTTTTATCTACCACCATCTTCAGTGCCCGCTATACAAGTGAGGCCACAAATAAGGTTACCATGAAAACCAACAAAATGTGCACTATTACCTCCTGGGTGGTACTCCTGTGACATCCTTCCTGTATTCTTCAAGTCAGGTTTTTGCCAAACATTTCATGATTACCCTCTGAGTATTCAAACCGCGCTAGGTACTGGAGGGGACCGCTAAGAGGATGAAGACCCAGCACTGTCCCAAAGGCATTCACTGTCTTGTTGGGGGGGGGGGGGAGCGCCACATGGGCAATCACCGATAAAAAGGCCGACCGTCAGGGAGTTCGCTGAGAAAGGTTCACAGTATTCGGAGAACACAGGCAACCGATCTGTTACCTCCAAACGTAGGGATCTAACAGGGCTCTGTGGAGAAGATTATTTTGAGGAAGGTCATGGAGCCTGGGCAGGGCTCCTTCATCGGATATGGGAGGCATGTGGCTTAGCGGGTAGGCTGACAAGCAAGCTTGCGCTTGACCCAGAAAGTGGATGAGAGCAGGATGTATTCAGAAATGGCTGCTACAGCAGCGTGGCTGGAACTCAGGTATAAAGGAAGATAATGTTGTAAAAGGAAGAGCAAATTCTGGAAGGTTTTAAACGCCCAGCCGAAAAGCTGGATTTCTTTCTTCCTAGCTGCAGAAATCCCATGAACAAAGAATGCCACTGATGGGTCTTGGTCCTGGAAAGATAGACAATTCAAGTCAGTATGGAGGATTTATTGGAGGGGTGAGAAAGGGAGTAGAGGGAAGCCAACCGGATAAGGAGCTTGGCCACAGGTCAGGGGTTTTAAGAGCTAGAAGGTTGGCAGTGGCGGCAGAAAGCAATGGATGAATGGCAGTTGCTTTTTCATCTTGAGGTGACATACTCCCCGAGGGCACCGGTTCGCAGACACACTAAGCTGTCGACATTCACAGGTTTTGGTGCCTTGGGCTAAATCAAAGAGATGAAAGCACTCAAGTCCCACAGATTTGAGCAATTGCTCCTTTAAAGACTTGCCTGGTGGCATTTGTCTAAAGAAGGTGCAGTGAGTTAGAAGTGATCATATGTAAAAGCCTTTCTCAACCAAGAGATCTGTGATATAATAAACGTAACACCAAAATAGAAGTCCAAGGATTTCTATTATCCTGACACCACACAGAACCCCTGAGTTTTACATCTCTGTCCTCTCTGCAGACATTGTGAAGTGTCTTTAGCCTTTTAACTTCTACGGTCTCCTTTCTCGTGTGAACACCTTTTCCAGATGATCCTGACAACTGGAATTGTCTCACTAATCTGCTCTGAGGGCGAGCCTAGACGAATTCTGTATCTGATGATGAAAAATGAGTGGATTCGTTCGCAAATAAGACAGAGCCAACAAACCTACTTTCTTGAACGCTTTGACGTAGATAACATGGCCAAATATATGTACCCATCGTATAATCATGAAATTAAATGGACTTGCTTTGCTCTTAAATTCTATGCTCAAATATAAAATCAAAGCCTCCAAAATGCATGCAACAAATCAAACACCACCATTAGCATTAATTCCTTTCACCCCTCAATTAGGACTTCTTAATTATACTATTGCATTCATAGAGAGAGAGAATCTGTAAATGGAGCTAAACAGATTATTGTAGAAAACAATTAGACACAGAATGACTCTAAGTGAAGATTCCTGGCGCTTTTCTACGTGTGCACGTGTATGCGCTCTGCATACCAACGACAAAGCTAGAAAGAAAACTCACCTGTTTTCTTCCTCAAGATCTGCTAGGATTCTCTCTAGCTCCCCTCTTTCCTCACTCTCTAAGGAAATCAAGATCTGGGCAGGACTACGAGGCTGGCTCAGGGGGGAGTCCTGGTTCAAACTTTGGCAGTAATGCTGGATTAACAAATGTTCATCATCTCTGGAAAATAAAATCAAAGGTTTTGGTTTTTTCCCCCCCTTATTTTGTTCTGGGGGTCAGGGACTCGGGTGTGTACTTAAAAATAGAAACATTTGCTCTTAACAAGTAATCAGACCCTTCTTCCTGGTTCTAAAGACACTTTGATTCTTTTGAGGTTGTGATCTACCATCTTATTGGTGATAATTCCAGGCATTTCTTGCTCAAATTTTCCAGTGAACTTGGCCTATTTACATGGGTAAAGGAAGGGCAGAATGACGGAAATATTGGGACTCTACGTTGACCACTCAACCAATAGTTAACCAATATTAAAAGACACAACAATGGCTCCATAATGCTTTTGCTACCGAACCTGTCAAGATAATCTGTTGGCTGACCCACGCTGATGTTGATAATGATCAGGGGAAAAAAAATGCAGCTTTTATCATCATAAATATCCTCCTAAGGGGAAGACCACGTAACCAAAAAAGTGTTGCTTCGGTCAGTAAGCCAGTTTGACCCTCAAAAGCCATAGAGGCAAGATGGTAACAATAACGAAACTGGAGACAAACGATGGTTTCACTCAATTATTGTTCAAAAAGAAAAACAAAAACTCGAAGGGAAAAAAAGCCACTCGGATGATTAATTAAAAGAACACTGAACAACTTATTCTTCGGAACAGCTTTTAAGGACTAATCTTCAGGAACAAAGAAGCAAAAGGCTCACATTTGGGGAAGCAGCTGCAATGTTTCCTTAAAACTAAGAACTCTCTAATACCCCGGAGAAATCATTTTCTAGATGTAGTGCTCCCAGCTCTTTAGAAGCTTACGTACCTCTAAGTTATAAGAACCTCGTTCTGTTCCTAATGAGACGCTAAAGCTCTTTGTTTCTGGTTAGATAGGAGCAGGATGATATGTTAATATCCCCCTAAGTCTTCTGAGTGGAAAAACAATTCAGGTATTTAGAAAATCCTCCTGACTGAAATGATTTTGGTCTGTCAAGCCAGGTAATTGGTTGAGAAGTGAAAAGTTGACTACCAATACTTATTGGGTGTTTAAAACAAGCGTTTAAGTGAAGTCAACCAATCCACCAAACCACTTCCCCAGGCCTGCCCTGAAAATATCATGATTTTACTGTCCAAACACGGAGTCAAAATGGATTTTATGTCCTCAGAATGAGCTAAAGCTAAATTTCACTTAAAAATTGTAAAAGGATGTTTTACTACCCAATTTACCATCCCTTTTCCCAAATTCTGAACTTTTATTGCTAGAACCTCCCATGTTTAATTACGACAGAGCTATAATTAAATTTCTTACTGTTCTCTCAGGCAGCCCCTGAATGGCAGCCTTTATTCTCCATTATTAATTATTCTCAAATTAATTAACTTGAATTAATTTGAATGTGCTGGGGTTTCTAATATCAAAATCGGTGACCCCAAGAAGCAAATCATCCAGGTTGTTGACATTTGGTTGATTCTTTGGCCACCTATCTTCACGTCAGTGTAGCTCGCATACTAATCCTACTGACAGTTATCCCCATGGCTGAGAAAGAGAGTATACCACAGTTTCAACTGGGGGAAAGATGGCTACTGTTTTGTTTTAAGTCACTCAGTCATACACAAATGCCTGAGTTGTTGACCTGATTCAACATTTGCCTGTGAAAGCGGTCACCTTCATCTACCAGATGATTTGTTGTCATGTCTTCAATAACTAGTTATGTATAAATGCCACGTGGGTACTATTTCCCTCAGCCTAATCCTTATAAAGGCCCTTGCCTCATCTGAGTGTGACTGTGAGGTGCCACACCAACATGATGATGTGCCACTCATTCTTCCCTTTGCCTAGATTCTCCATGACCAAGTGGTGAGACATCTCTAACTGACCAAAGGCATCGCTGTGCTCGGACTAGATTTTTTCTCTCTAAATTATCCGTTCAGTTAGCAGGCCCTTATCTTCTCCTTCAGATTAGCTTCTTAATCGGTTCCCTCCACCTCAGGCCCATGGTTCGTGCACTACTCCTGCGTGTTCCTCAGTGTGAATACTTCCCCTACTCGCTAATGAAGACTTTGTTTCTGTGCCATCGTTTAGCATCACGCTCTCTCTTCTATTTGACAGGCCTGGCTTAACCTCCCGCTAACAACCTTCGACCTAGACCTGAACTCCTCCTCCTGAAACCCTTCACAAGATGGCCTTGCTGTATTTAGCTAGTGAAGACGCTACGTCACACAACTCTACTACTTTGGATCTCTGAAGGAAAATGCCCAACGAACCCAGCACATGGGAATGCCAAGGGAACTCTACCAAGAGTGCAGGTCCACTCCCCCTGCCTGGAGAAACTACTACCCGGCCATTACTTTAAATATTAATATCCAATCCCTTTAAATATCTGGCAGGTTTCATCAGAGATTAAGCATTTAATATAATTTCAATATTTGCACCCGTGCAACCGGTGATCATCTGGTATTAAATAAGAATAAGGCAAACTGGTTTTGCTACTCTGGAATTACCACTGAGGCCACACTGGGGATGAGCGTGCTCCCTGTCAGGCTGTTGAGAGTCAAAGAAAAAAAGTAAATGAGTGGCTCCTTGAAAGATCAAGTGACTATCCTGCTAACTCCTATCTTCTGCACTACCCTACCTCGAAAGCCCTCAAAGCAATTTCATGGTCAGGAACATTTTGTAAAAAGAGACGGGATACTTACATGCTCTCATTAGGAGAGATGCTATCATTTAGATAAGATCCATTGCTGTTTTCCATTTCTGCTAGCCTGATAAAAAACGTAAAAGCTCATTAAAACTTATGTGATTTCTTAGAATCTATTCAAGACCTAATCGAACATTCCTGAAAACTAAAGGATAAATCATGTCAAGAAGAGAAAAGAATCCTTCAAATCAAAGGATGTGTGTGTTGCCCTAACCATTTGCGGCAGTGAGTGGTGGACCACAGCTAGTTAGCAGCTTTACATTTATGCCATAAATTATAAAGGAAGTTGTATTTGGTAGGGTTTTTTCTTCTTCTTCACAGATCGATCTTCCTTTTACTGAGAACAGGCCTCTGTTTTTACAAGAAAAGCTTCCCTAACAACAAATACACTCTATCCCTTCGCTACCCCTGGTAGCTTTAAGACAATTAAAGCTTTCCCCTGATGACAGACTTATAGAGCTACTTCGTGCTTTCCCACGGTTGATAAACACCTTAGCGGTTATAATACTTTTTCAGGATGGACTCACAGTAAGCTCTCTTACCAGTCTGCCACCAGGTTTTTACCTTTTAAAAAACCTCCTTCCCCTCAGACAATTGTAAAACGCTTTTTACTACTAAAAAATAAAAAAAAGTTAACCAAACTCTTACAGACTTACTTAACGAGCATAAGATATCTTACAGATAGCAAATCAGTTTTTAGGTATAAAAATAATCTGAAACACAAACAAGGTGGGACATAAAGGTGCAAGGATTAGGAAAATTAATTGCTCTCTTCTTTACAGCATATCAGGTGAAATAAGCACACAGACGGAAAGCCAATGCCTTCACATTCTCTACGGAACAGAGTATCGCTTCTTCACCTGGGCATGTCTCTGGTCTAGCGGTTTTCTAAGGTCAGATGATTTCTCAGCCAATTTCTTAAACGTGCGCAGTATGCAAAACATAACAAAGCTATCGGAAAAGTTTAAAGGCCAGGATTAGGGAGAGACTGTTCCGGACCAAGGTCCTTACTCGTGTCCAAGAACAACATGCAGTGCAATGGCATGCAAGTTAGAGGGCAAGGTGATTAGTAGAAGTCAGACAAGATCGGGGGGGAAGGAAAAGGTCTGTTGCAAATTATTATAGGTTAGCTTTCCTTGGTTAGTTATTTCAATCAATATTTGCCTGGCATTCAACTAGTGTCATACCTGCTAGCATAATGTTCAATGCGTGAATGAGTATCATCGTGTGAAAGCTGAGGGGACGAAGCAGGCCTATAAGGCAGAAAATGTGATTAGTCACAGATACCATCCATTAATGGAGAAAAAAAAAACCCCACCACACAGTTATGTTATATACATGGCCTAGAAAGCTTTTATTCTATCCTCTGGATAAGGTACACATCTGGCTTTTCCCGTATCTTAGATATCATCAAGTATTTGAAATCCAAGCTTGAGAGGCGAGATCTCCTCCTTCTACTTCTTTCAAAAGCCATAAAAAAGAGATCACAATCCTCCCTGGAGAGCTTCCGTGAGAGGCAAGGCTGGGAGAGACCATCTCTCTGGGACAGTTTGCTCCCCCCTGGCTAGTTTCTCACACGCTACGGTTGTGAGACTGTGTTGGCACTAGGTGGCCACAACTGTCAAAGAGCTTACACCCAGGCCATTTATGACGTGCTCTCTCACTGAATGCAAACTCTATGTGGGCCCAGCACCCTCTCAGTGAACTATGTGATTCCAAAGAGGCCAGGCCGGTCCGGGACCTCTTAGGAATCCACACTCCTAGCTACCTTGGTCTGTACAGTTTTGTAAAGAAGCAATATATCTACCAATTGAGCAGTAGGCCTATATTCCTACTCCATCAAATAAAAATGAAGGACCCGAAATGATACTGTGATGTTTTTTTAAAAAAAAAAAAAAAAAAAAACTAAATTCTATAAAATGTCACAATATCTGAAATACTTATTAGGGATACTGTGTGCTAATATACAGAGAAGAAAATGAGGGGAGGGTTATATACTTTGGGGTGTAAAACCCTACCTTTTGTATTTTTACTATTATTATTATTTTTTTTTTTTTTTCTTAGCTCCAGAGACCAGGAGATTTGGGAAGGTTAATATTTTCCTTATCCTTTCCTATCAGATCTATTAATTATCCCTGAAGTTTTTATAGTACTTTTGGATTAACCTTAGGGAAGAAAAATCCATCTGTTCTGAAAACCAGTTTGGACTTGGGCTTTTTTGTTTTCATTGGAAGAGGACAAAAGTTCTCTTCCATTTCTGTTCTGACACAGAAAGCCCTTAGGTAAAGGCACGAATCCAAAAGTCAACAGTAATCTATTCAGTGAGGACTAGTTTAGCCCAACGTCCAAACAGTATTAATTGACTTGGTCACAACACTAAGAATAGGTTTGTATTTTCTTCTACTAAAATAAAAAAACATATAGTTATGTAGGCTGACATAGAAAATGCACTAGAAATGCCTATTTCTTCAAGACACGCAATCATAAGATGATTACAACACAGTCTAGCAAACAACTAGGGGCCAGACGGCTTCCCTGGGACCTAAAGGCCTTATTTATGAAACCAGTGTTGTCTAGGTCAAGTGTCCCCATAATCCAGCTTGCAATGAACTACCAAGATGTTTCAAACTGTCTTAAGGAGACAAGGAAGACTACCCAATTTACTAGGCAGATCCAAAGATTTTCATGTGAATCTCCACTCTAGTTTTGTAGAGTTCATCTGCTCTTTTCTTAGAACCCTGACAGAGCACAGTATCAGAAAAATGCTAAGGTTTGTTTTAAAATATTCACTGCAGGTTAAGATAGTTTAGTACTTGGATTATTCGGTTTGTAAGCCCTGTCTTCTGGAACAAACTCCTTTTTCATGTACAGGCTTCTTCTAAGCTAAAAGCCCACCATGAAGGAAAACGGGTGTTTTCCCTTCCAACAGTGGCTAGCTTGGTAGCGTATAGAAGAAAACCCGACGCCTTTGAGCTAGAAACTATAGAGCAAGAAAACCAGGCATGTAAATCCAAAACACTTTAAAATAATCTTATACAGAAAATATTCTGCAGCGCTTTAATTCTTAACCTTGAGGCTAATTCCGTGTTATTTTTCTTATCAGTGTTCGTGGCACCGAACACAGCATGCTTAAGCACAGGAACTTGTAATCAGAAATCTAAAAAAAAAGAGCAAGTACACTAAAGGAGGCACTTATTAAGCCAGAAAATGAGCCAGAAGGGAGCACTGTGCAGAGGAGAATCATTTAGAAACCAAGAATAAGTACAAGCACAAAACCACTTAGTCCAGAAACAAAACTAAATCCAAAGCCTTCTGAAACCCTATTCTGAGAGATGGTAAGAATACCGCTCTCCCTTCCTACTTCCTAACCATAGACCCTAACGATATACCCAGAAAGATTAGTCCTGTTATTGTAAATGGCCAATACCATCCCCCTCCCCCCCCCCACTGCCCCTTTCTCTTATGTAGGAAATCCACTATTAACTTTTCACCCGTTTAGGCTTCAGAGTAGAAGAGCTCAAAGAATACTATTTGTCTCCTTTGTGGACAAACAATATAAAAGGCTTAAGCTAGAAGTAGTTTTAAAGGTAATATGACAAATAGCAGGTAAATAAGGGTTTCCTATAAAGAAAAAGAGAAGATCTGTATCTCAGTGAACTTTCAAACTTGTGATCCACATGAGAATCTGTTAATACCAGGTGCAATTCCTGCGAAATTAAAGCACCTTAGGACCCCGTTTTTCTGCCTCAACAATGTAGTTTATAAATCATGTATAATCCCATGAGTAAAGACTTTAACAAAATTGCTGGTATTTAAGAAAATAGGGACTGTAGCCTGCTGGGTTTTGTTTCAAAAGTAGAATTTTCCACCATTTCTGAATAATCTAACATACCTTTTATAAAAAGGCAAAGTGATTCTATGTGTTAGTCATTAGAGGAAGATATTTTAGCAAAGAAGGTTATTAATTTTAAACTTCTTTAAAGTTTAAGGCCAACACCCTCTACTTAAAACAGTTGACATTAAATTCACGGCCATGGCTTTTTTTCATTAGTTTATGTATACAATAAACTCCCCCCTCCCCCCATTCAGGGGACTGTTATTTTTCACCTATTATTTTGTGCTACCTCTATCCATGCATTTTTAAAGTGATTCTTTAGCAAAATTGTCTTTTGGATATTTCAACTGGCTAAAAGTTATTCCAATAGAGAGTACATCCATTTGCTTATTAGGATCCCCTCACACTGGGGATTTCAGTCTCAATTTGTTTTGAAGTTTATTTCGGAAAGGTTCAAACTTCTAGAAACAAATAAACTACGTGGACTAGGGAAAAATAATTACCTACCAAGAGCAAAAACCAGAACTGAATCTAAGTCACGACCCCGATGACTAAAAAAATCAGGTATAGGTACCATAGGTCAAAATTAAGGGGCATAATAATGTTGCTTTAACTAAGAAAGGGAAGCCTCACACTTCTTTAGGCCATAACGACATAAAATAAACCTCGATTAATAGCTTGCATTTATCACTACGGGATTTTTAAAAAAGGATATACTTTATATTAAATTACATGGTGGAACAATAAAAAAAGGCCTAATAAAAATAAATTGAGTTCTTCTAAATTGGTCATTTCCCTCTTATATATAATAGAGCTGTCTGACTTTAAATAAATATTTTAATAAATATGCTACGAAATACCAAAACTTTGTTATACTCCATGCAATATAACTTTAAAACAGTGCACACTTTGTTTGCTAGTATATAAATCACAGACTCCCCAAAGGGTTTTCTAATAACATTATAAACTCCGAGGTAAATCAATTATCTGTTGGTATCTAATATTATTATTATTAATATACACCGATAGTAATAGCCAAGTCTACAGTACACCTTCCTTCCAGTGTAAATGTCTATTTATGAGCTGAATATTTAGTTCAGAGAGGAGAGCAAAGTGAGTTTAGTTCCAAACTAAGAAATTCGTGTATATAAAGATTAGTCCAATAGCATACACACACCTCAGTGAAATTATTCCATCAAAGTCAACATCACACTGTAAAACAAATTCTGCTGATTTTTAATGGTCCGCTTAGAACAAGCCCTAAAAAATAAGTCATCATCCTTTTGAAGGTCCCAAAGTATTCAATCTCAAAAACTTTGGCTAAAGAGTGTTATGATATAATCAGAAGGCTCCTCCCTGCTTATAACAGAAGGCTATATATAAACACGTCTTCCAGGACTGTAACTAACAACCCGTTCATTTCTCTGATGATTGATTCCAGGCCACGATTTCTGCTGGTTAAAAGCTGACCAGGTGGGGACCTGAAAACCTCACTCTGATTCTCCTGATCTGTGGCGGATGGTACTTGCCGCGTCTTATCACGGGAAGAAAAAAATTGAAATGAAGGACGGGAAATTAATAGGTCTTTAAAACCAAACCAAACCAACAGAACAAAAATGGTCAAATCAAGCAAGCCAGCAGCACCCTTCAGCGCAAGTACTCACGCAGGATCTACCGGCCAGAAGTTGATCAGAGTAACAGGACTGCAAAACAAAAAATGAGGTGGTGAAAAGAGACACAGGCAAACTCAGCCACAAAAAAAAAAAAAAAAAAGTAAACAAATAAATAGAAATAAATAAAAAGAAAAGAAAATACTGAAAGGTCAAAATAAATAGTGTCCAGCCAATTAAGTATGAACCGTGAAAAGCAACGGCCAAACGCAGGTGGAAAGTGAGGTGTAAGAAAAACAAACGAGTGTGCGATTGCCATCGGGTATGGAGAACACAAGAGAAGGTTGAATAGAGGTGGAGGGATCGTCATTGTGATCACGAGAATCATTACTACTTACTGTGAAGAAATTTCCTGGGACTCTATTTTCTTTCAAGGAGATAAAAGCGACTAAGCATGACCGCACAATCAGATACAAAAAAGACACACGCCTGGCGACTCGTGTGGGAGGAAAACCCCAACGAAAGGCTCGAATCCCTCGTTTGTAAACAGTCCCATATTTCTTACAAGGGAAGGAGCAGCTGTCAGGGAGCTGCTCTCCCCGGGAGATCCGGTTCAACTTTTGGGACAGGTAATTGGCCTGGGACAACTGACACGAGAAAATGGCAATTGAACATCAGCTTGTTTTTCTCTTCCCAGCTAAAGTCACATCTAAAGAAGGAAACAGGAGAGACTGTTTGCACTTGGGAGCGAGGAGGGGTTCAGCGGAGAGGAGGTCAAGCAGGCCCTCGCCGGTACTCACGTTTCCATGTTGTCCCCCTCTAAGACAGTCTGCACAGGCAGGTAGCCCATTCGGGGATGCTTCGCAAAATACCTTTTGGTTCGAAATTTGTTTTTTAGTACCTTGGCAAAGTCACGAACATCTTCTCCCGATGTAGTCTGAAAGGGAAATGGCGCCGAGATCAGACACACGAGGGTATGATGTCACGGTAAAGGGCCACTCCAGTGTTCTGCCTTAGGGTGCGCGTTCTGTAATTTAGGAGACCGCAGGGGTCGAGGGCGAAGTCTGTGGGCAAAAACCGGGCCCGGCCTAGCATTAACTAGTAGGGTTAACTGGCGCAACCTATTTGCCTCTTGAAGGCTCAGACCGGCTGTAAAATGGGGGTGACAATACCTCACCAAGTTGTCATGAGGAAAAAAGGAAGCAGAAGGAGTACCTATTTCCAGACCTCAGGTCTGGCCACACTTTACAGTATTTTAGGAAACGATTTGGTCCACACTGAGGTCATGTTTCACCCACTGACTCTCACTCTATTTCACAGCGTGGCTCACTCTGCATCACTGAATACCTTTGCAAGAGGAATCAGTGAGAAAGACACTAAGAACTGGATAATCATTCTGATGATGGTGGAAGAGAGGAAAGTTCTAGAGCAGAGCTTCTTGAACTCGGATGTGTGTGACAACTGCCTGCAGATTCTTCGAGAATGCAGGGTGGGCTTAACAAGTCTGGGGCAGGGCCCAGGGTGGTACAAGCCCCGGGTCTAGCAGTGCTGCATAGCAACCAGTCAAGAGCAGGCGGCTAGTGTTGAAAGAACATCAGATTGACACCCAGATGTGTCTGACCACCCAGTCTATTCCCTTTCCATTTCAACAGTGATTTTTCCAAAGTTCTATAAGCTACCGAACATTTCCTCAAAATGACATCTAAGGAGAAAGTTCCGTCCCTTAATTCTAGAACCATGGGCCTCAGAGAACCTTAAGGCCTCAGAGTGCTCATCTGTAAACAGGGGATAATGATAAATACCTATTTTACAGAGTACTTGTTTTTCCTTTAAGTAGGTTCTGTGCCTAGCATAGAGCCCAGCACGGGGCTTGAACTCATGATCCTGAGATTAAGACCTGAGCTGAGATCAGGAGTCGGACACTTAACCAACCGCGCCACCCAGGCTCCTCTCACAGAGTAGCTTAAAAGGCAAGTGCCGGGGCGCCTGGGTGGTGCGGTCGGTTAAGTGTCCAACTTCAGCTCAGGTCATGATCTCATGGCTCGTGAGTGCTAGCCCCACGTCGGGCTCTGTGCTGACAGCTAGCTCATGAGCCTGGAGCCTGCTTCAGATTCTCTGTCTCCCTCTGTCTCTGCCCCTCCCCTGCTCACGCTCGCATGCATGCTCTCTCAAAAATAAACATTCAGAAAAAATTTTTTAAAGGCAAACGCCTAGTGTTAGTTAAGCAAGACTGACCAAAAGTAGTGGGTAATAAATTCGAAGGATCCATATGACCCCCTCCCTCCACACCCAACACCCCCCCCCCCCAACTGACCATGAAATGTCTCCTCACAACTGCTAGGGCCCCGTACACAATACAGGTGAGAACGCCTTCTCAACGAGCACCAAAAAAGGACGTATTTGTTCATTCAACACTATTTGTGGAGTAAGTCAGAGGCTTTATTTTGCGCCAGGCACTGCCCTGGGCACTAGGGCTACAGGAAATCTGGGGCCTACAATCCGGAGCCACTTTAGCGGGGAAGCATCTCACGAACTTCTAAATCACAGCAGTACAAGTCACGTGCAACATGTACACAAGGGAAACTCCGCCCAGGTGAACTACCTGTCAGGCCAGGGAGGCGTCAAACTTACCGGAGTGCAGTATTCAACCATGGGATAGTGCATTTTGTGGCCTTTTGCAACTCGACCAGAAAAAAAGCAACTTTGGCAGATGTCATAATTAAAGTGCTTTAGACTCCTGTACCTGGTAGAAAACAAAACAAAAATAAATGCATATATATTTCTTCAAATCAAATTCCCAATTAATAAACCCTCCACGCAGTCTGAGTTCTGCAAACGGAATGCAGGTTCGTTAATCCCACAGGTAAGTGATTAACTTCCCATATTCACATTTCTCTGGTGCTTCTCCCACAGTATCAAAACATTTTGGCACGAAGATTATCCTATGAACATATGGAAGGAGGGAAGAAGATTTCAGCTCTTATTTAAACTCCAGTAGGAACCCTTTCAGATTAAGTAGGAAGATACTGGCAACCTTCCAGTCTTTTGAAGACGGAACGCAAGAATTTGAAAGAACTTCCAGGAGAGAGGGATGGATGTGGTGCAGGCCCCCTACCCATTCTGGGGACAAACATTTTCTGAAGTGATTGTTTTCTAAACAATTTTTATCAAGATAAAAAGCAATTTCATAAAATAAAGGAAAATTAAACAAGAACCCTCACTTGAAGGTTCATTTTGCCTTAATCACGTTTTATGACATTATTCACCTTCAGGTAGTTCTGTGGATGATGTCTTTCATGGGCCTCTCTTCAGAAAACCCCCACCAATTACGCACACAGAAGTGAAGCCCCAAGAAAAGACAAATTGGGGCTGGATGGAAGAATCTGTCATCTGTAAGTGCTAGGTGGTGCACAGGGCCCCCGTTTCAGTATACGGTCTTGTTTCCTCTGCTCCCCTGCCTTTTGCTTTCTTAGATAAGAACCCTAGCCAATTCAAAAAAATCATATTCCTTCTGCCACATATGGGAATGTGGGGGGGAGGGGGAAGCTACCTATTTTAGATCCCAACCATCTTTCGAGAGAAGGAGGAGGAGGAAAAAGAAGTGCCGAGTCCCAAAATAATCTAATTTGGTAAGGGCAAAAGAATTCAATGCACACTCCCTCTCCAGCCCTCCAAAGCCCTCCCCTTTTCTATTTTATAAATCCTGACCCTGCACATAAATCTCACTAGCTCGGGAAGGTCAGAAAAGAAAGGCAGGAAATGAAATGCGGTCCCCTGGGGCTTGCCCTCCACACCCCCCATGGCATCATTCTTACCTGCTAGAAACCAGGAAGGCAAACTGTTCCTTTGTGAGCACTGCCTACTCACTGTTATCTACCTAGGCTTTAGAAATCTCTGAGGGTCTTTGTGAAACCTCTCTGTCAACACCATGAAGCGTGGAAGGACAAACACCAGGGGTAAAAGAGTAGTGAATAAAAAAAGCACACAAATGGTACAAAGTAGTTATTAGGACACAAAGAAATAGAACAAGTCTAAGCATAACTAGAAACAGAGTATTTACGTAGCTGTTAAGTGGATTCTGAACAGGCACAGACGATGTGGCTAGTTTACAACTTCATGGCTTATTCATCGCTATGGAAACCTTGATGTTGATCCAGATGTTTAAATACATCATCATTTCAAAATGCAGATTTGGGATTATTGTTGAGTAAGATTAATTCACTTAAAAATATCCCATCTCCCCAAAGGGGTCAACAAGACTGAGGATTTAAGAGCCAGTGGTTTTCCGTGACATTTTATGAACATCAGAATAATAACCTGCTATGTTTCCTATCTTTTTTACTTTTAAATTTATAAAGAACCTTTTCATTTTTTTTTAGCTGCTTTGTGAAATTTTCATTTACTTGTGTACTTTATATTCCCTTAGAAGTTCATTAGGATACTATGCAAAGAGCATAATCAGATTCACAGGGAAAAAAGTTAAGTGCTGGGTTGCTGGAAACAATTCTTGTTACTTGAGGGAAGAAAAGTGCTACGAAGTGAGTAAGAAGCTGAGCTACCATGACAGGTCTCCCCACACAGAATCATCTCTTAGTGTTGGAACGGATTCTTAGGGAATTTCTATAAACAGAAGAAAAGAAAAACATGAAAAAACCCCCAAAGAGATGGTTACAATTCTCTGGACCCAGGAAGGAGGCGGCACAGTTAATCCGCATACCCTTGACACACGAACATCTCAGGGGAGGCGGGCAATCAGTTGAACAGTCCTGTTCAACCAAGGATGTGGCTCTGCCGAGCTCCACGATCAAGGTGGAAAGGGACACCTGCCTGATGACTCAGAGCCACCAAAATAGCCCAGCGATCAGGGCAGTCCACAGTATGGAAAGGAACGAACTCAGAGCAACTGGCAGAAGGGATGAAAGATCAAGCCCTGAAAAGGTGAGAACCAGGAGGGAAGGGTGCCACGGTGGGGGTTCCGGATACCTGAATCCGATGATCGGACACTCCTTGCAGATGTTGCACTTGGCCTGGTGCTTGGCAGTTTCCGCAGCAGCCACTCGGTGCAGGACAGGCAGCCACACCATGGACTGGGGCTCCAGTCTCATCCAGTCTAGGAAGAGGGCCGCTTCGATCTCAGGCTTATTATTAGCCTGTGTGGACAGGAGGCAGGGTGGGGGGTGGGGGTTGCAGAGGGCAAGAAGAGAAAGGACAGAAGGTATTTGTCAGTACAGGCCGTCAATTAAGAAAAAGACACAACGGTGGCTGCGAGGCTCACTTTTCACAGCCCGTTTCTGCAGACGTCCCCCCTAAGGCCCACAGGAGCCACCTATCCCCTGAAGCTTTGGTAAAGTGCCATTACCCTGCGTGGCTGCTAGATGACGAATAAGCAAAGCAAAACCAACACGTGGAGGAAGGAGAGCAACACACACACCTGAGCCGACACCACCCTGAGCTCTGGTTTTGGAACACACGTGTTAAGAGTTGGCCGGAAGTGAGATTCAAGTGCTTATGGATAACATTTCACAGGAGGTTAAGGAAAAACCAACTCAGGAATTATGGATTCCTTGTTTCTCCTAGAGAATCTATTTCTCAGTGTTTCACAGAATCTCAGTGAAGAGCCCTCAAAATTCATCTGGTCCTGGAGCTTCCTTTTACAGACCATAAAGCAGAGACATGGGTGCCGGAAGCCTTCCCAAGGCCGTATGATGGACGAGCCGCGAGGAGCCGAGGTGCTACCAGATTCCGAACCCCCTGGTCTAGTGCTGTTTTCAGGGTGGCCCGTTTTCTCGTCTCTCCCTTTCAAAGTCTAAATTTAATAAACACCATTCCTCCCCAACAGTACAGTGATTTTAGAAAACTCAAAATATATTTACCTACTGCTTATGGGTTACTATAGTTCATGCGTTTTGATGACATTTTTGTTAACCCTACAAGATGGCGGGGTGGTTCGTTTGTTTCTTTCTTTCTTTAGACTGAGCAACACATCGACCGCTATTTTTTTTTTTTCATTGCCTCTTTTATTTCACATCTTCCATCTGGGATCACTTCTAAGTATATCCTTTAGAATGTTCTTTTAAGTGTCTTATTGGTGGAGAATTTCTCAGGTTTTGTTTGGTCCGAAAATGTTTTCTTCTAAAAAAAGTTTATTTATTTACTTTTGAGACAGAGAGAGGGAGAGAGAGAACAAGCAGGAGGGGCAGAGAGCGAGAATCCCAAGACGCGGGGCTCGAACCCACGAACTACAAGATCATGACATGAGCTAAAATCACGAGTCGGATGCCTGACCGAGTGAGCCACCCAGGCGCCTCTCTATTTTTTTAAAATCCATACTCTTGACAGCTATCTTCATTACATATAGATTTTTAGACTGGACGGGGGGTTGTTTTTATTGTTTCCGCACACTGAATGATTATTCCACTTCACTTTCACTGTCACTACTGTTGGCAAGTCAGCAGTAAAGCACGCTGTTGCTCCTTCGGAGGGAATATGTCCTCTTCCTGTCTGGTGTTACGTTTCTAGGGTTTATTTACACTTTGTAGCATTCAATGGGCTTCTTGAATCTTTCGCTTGGTTAGCTCTGGAATCTTCTCAGTCATGATCTCAACAAATAGTGCCTCTTCTCTAGTTCCTCTCTGCTCTGCTTACAGAAATCTATTAGCTAAATATTAGACTTTCTCACCCTCGTCCGCATTTCTCTGGACAGGCCCTCCTGGGCTTCATTTCTAACAATCTCTTCTACCTCACCAGCTTCTACCTCTCGTGTGCGCGCGCTCTCTCTCTCTCTCTCATAGCATCTAGTTGGCTATTAAAGCCATTCAGCAAGTTTTAAATTTTAGTTACTGCACTTTTAACGTCTACAAGTGCTACCTGGTCATTTTAAGGTCATCTCTAAAAAGTCTATGGCTCACTGCAGATATTTTTCATTGTTACCTGTTTTTTTTTTTTTTTTTAATGGAGTAAACACTTCTCAAAGAATAATCTAATGATTCCAATGTATGAAATTCCTATGGGTCTGCTTCTGCAGTCTGCTATATCTGCTGGCCCTCAGCCACTTTGGTTTGTTTCTGGCATGCTTTTTTTTTTTTTTTTTAAATACGTACTACAGTGACCTGAAAAAAAAAAATCTTCTGGAGATACTTGGAGCCCTAGAATGGAAGTGCTTTCTACAGACATGATTGTCATTTGCTTCTGCCAACACCCAGAGGGCACTGCCTATTTGGAGACCATTTTGAATGGGACATATGATGGGAAAATGCAGTATCACACAAGTAATGAGTATTTGCACTGTAAACCCATGTTGCTTCTTCTGGAATGTGGTTCACTAAGAACGAATGAATCTATTTGCACTGCAGACAGAAAAGCAACAGGGTTTGAACCGACAGGTCACTGGGCTGGCAAAACTCACCACTGGAGCCACAGTCCAGTCATTACCCCTGATTATAAATTTAACATTATAATGAGCCATTTGACCTTGAATCTCCTAGCTGGAAAATGCTACCCATTTGAGGTACTGATCAAAAGCTTCTGATGAACGCTTTTCTCTGTATAGAACGCTATCACAGAGGTACTCTGTGGAAATTGGAAAAAACAAAATAAAACAACAACAAAAAAAAGAATTACAGAACCTAAAGATCAAAGGCAGCATGCAAGTGAACTCATCGTTTCGTAACAGCACTGCAGAACCGCGAGAGCTTCCACGACCACTGAGTCCAAACTCAGGCGATGCCAGTGTGTTTTTACTGCCACTGTATACATATCAGTTGTGCTAGGGAGCAAATGTCCTTAGTGGATGACCTTGAACACTTGGGTACGGGTACTTCTGTCAAAAGTGCGTCATCACACAGAGCTGAAATCCACAGAGCAGAGGCTCCAGAATCCAGCGAGAGTTCAAACGCCAACCATTTACTGGTTGTGTGACCTTGGCAAAGTAACTTCACCTTTCTGTGTCTTAATCTATATATAGCACCTGCCTCAGAGGGCTGTTTGAAGATTTCAGTGAGTGAAATGAAAGGCACTTGGAACACTGGCACACAGCAAGAGCCGCGGCGCTGTGTGTACTGTTATTCTGATTATTGTTATCCACCCAACCAGAAACCCAGAAGGTCTCAGGCTTTACAGGGCCCTTTCAGTATTTGACCAGAGCGGTCATGTCTGTCCATGCGTCTTCATCCCTGTTCTTTTATTATTCCTCATAGGACGTGCCTTGGTGTGCCACTGTCCTTGAGAAAACTACTTTCCGAATATGATCCGTTGGGAATGGTCGCTCCACTGGTCTGGACAGTATAATTGGATGACTTTCTTTTGTTCTGTATTGTGCACACACATAGGGTTTCCACTCAAGTAAAATCTCTGGGTCAGTATTTCCCAGTGCATCCAGCAGACCAGTCATCCAACAAAATGCTTCAAGAAAAGAAGGTCCAATTAATTACAGAAACACTGCCCACATTACATCTGCCTCTTAAAATTCTTAATGCATGTTAACATAGTAAAAGCTGAGGAGGAATCATTGGTAAAGAAACACATTAAACTCTGCCTGAACTCAGAATTTCCCACACTAATTATTCAGCGATCCCAAGACCTTTACCTTAAAAAAAAAAAAAAAAAAAAAAAAGGCTTGTGAACACTACAAGGTACGGATGCTGTGTTGGGCATAATGGGAAATGCTGTGCTTGGCTGTTTTCAGTGATTCCTCTACTCTGTACTTGCTCAGTTGGGATCCGTGTCCTTTCACTTTCATCAAGGACTTTCCTGCTAGTTTGAGCCCGCTGTATAATCTCCTCCAAATTTTTAAGAATTCGGCCTCTCGAAGCCAGATCAGCCACTCTTCCCTACTTTGTGTCATTTGTGTATTTTTTTAACTTATTTATTTTGAAATACTTTTTCCATTTTACAGCATGTATTCCATCATCATCAAAAAGTCAGCGGTGAAAATACCAAGCAGGCCAAGGTCAGACAGGAGCCAGCACCCCTACAGCCAGGACTCAGTTCGGGCCAACGCAAACCCAGGATTCAGCCTTCTCTGATTAAACAAGAGCTCTTCCGGTTATATTGCCATGGCATCCCCCGCACACGCTTTTCTGCCTTGTACACAAAAGCACGATGAGAGACTCTGTCAAACGAACTACAAGTTTCAGCTGCAATATGTCCTCTAACAATCTCTTGCTCCACTGGTCTAGAAACTAACTTCATCAAAATAACCCTTTCTAGTTTGGAGATAAACCAGTACTGAAAGCCAGTACAATGGGAAGCATCAGTAACTCGTTCGTATTGAAAACATGGATTTACTGTTGCTTAAGCTGAAGCGAAGACATTTTGTTCTGACTTAGGTTTAAATGATAGTTTGTTTAATGGTGGATTAAAAGATACACTACGGAGTAAAAATTCACGCTTAATACAGGAAGTGTGCTAAGCACAGAAAGCTTCTATTCATTCTAGAAAATGGAAAGTAAAACTCTGTGAGTCAGCAACAGATGTAGGTGTAAAAAAAAGAAAAAAGAAAGCAAGAAACACCTTGACTCTAATGTATAACTGAAGGCAGAGCAGGTACAGCATGAGGAAGTGGTCTCGTTACTCTCAGTACTGTTCAAACCCTTCTCAGAAAATGCTGTCTAGTTCTGGTGGCTACAGCTGACCCAGAACTTCGAGAAGGCTTGGCAGAAAGGCACAGGGATAATTAAAGGGTTTGAAAGACCTATGAGAACAGTTTAAGGGAATTGGGATTATTTAGCCAAGAACAAAAAAAGAGAATGTGCAAGAAAGAGTGGCTGAAGGGGCGATTTAATAACAGTTTTCAATTATGTGAATGGCTCTTGCATAGGGGCCTGTGACCAGCTGTTCGATCCCTCCACTGAGGACAGAACAAGAAGAAACGGGCTTAAGCAGCATGAACAATTTAGGCTGTAACTCACACAGAATTTCCTGATGCAGAAAGTTGTTAAAGCATTAGTGTGAATTACCAAGGGAAGCTAGGGAATGTTCGGCTTTTTCAAAATACTATAGATTCTCTCGTGTTTAAAGGCTGGAAATTCTCAAGGTTCTTTCTAGCTCCTAGGGTGGAAGATCCATCATTTTGGCTCTTTTAAAACTGCTCACTGATGCCAACTGACAGCACTGAGGATGAGCTATGGAGATTCACATTCTCTTTCTGTTT